TATGATTGATATACTAAATGTGAACACGAAGTGTGATAGATGCACTTAGTGAACAGAGTATGACACAATGCTATGAAATGGCATACACGATGCACGAGATAACATGGCATACACAATGCGCTAACATACAACCTAGCATACGCAATGCTATGAAATGAAATGGCATACACAATGCATAATGGATTTATACCAACATGAGTGGACCTCAGCCACACTAACATAAGAGGCCATGAGATGAAAAATGAGACACTCGAGATGCGTGCACGCATGCACGCAAAGGCATAAATGCCACTCTAACAAGACATGACAAGGCATGAAACATGGTATGCAAACATGCAAATTTCAGTGCTGAAATGTGATACAAAATGGTCCCGAAACATGGAAACATGGTACCTGATGCATGGAATGAGACCCGAAACATGAAATTAGGTACATGGAATGACCTATGGCTATACAAAGCATGCATTATTTGATCATGAAGCATGAAGACAGATTCAAAGCAGTCCCAAAACATGCATATTTCTAATTTATAACAAGTCCCAAAAACAAACACAAGTAGGGCTAAGCTAGCATGCAAAAATGGCCCCGTAAGAGAGATAATGAAGCAAGTAGCAGCTTCTGGCGCTAAATGGCCAAGAGCCCTTCAATAAAGTTGAAGAGGGGCTCAAAATGAAGCACTTTAAAGTTTACAACAAGCCACGGATCTAAACACAAACAGGCCTAAAACAATGTGCAAGAAATGGGCCAAAAAGGAGACAAAGAAGCAAGTGATGGTTTCTGGCATCAAACAGAGGAGGGCCCTTCAAGAAAGTTGAAGAGGGGCCCAAAAAATGGTATTTTACAGTTAGTGACCAAACCCAAAACAGTGCACATGCAAGCTTAAAATACTATGCAAAATAAGGCCTAAAAAGAGGTTTAAACACAAAGAGCAAAAAAAAAATATAAGCACAAGGGGCTAACAAAACATGCAAAAATAAGGCTAAAAGAGGGATAAAGAGGCAAGCGACAAAAGGAAGCCTCAAACAGTGAAGAGCCCTTCAACAATGTTGAATAAGGGCTCAAAATAAGCCACTTTACAGTTTATGACCACGCTCAAAACAGATTAAAAATGAGCCTAAAGTACTATTCAAGAAAGAGGCATACAAGAGAGGTAAAGAAGCAAGTGTAAAAAGAAAGCCTCAAACAGGGAGAAGCCCTTAAACAAACATGAAAAGGAGATCAAAATAATGCTATTCTCAGTTGGGGTCGGAGCCCAAATATGCAAGCAAGAGGAGCTAATATATTGAGCAAAAATAGGGCCAAAGAGAGGGATAGAAGACTTACCCTTGAAGACCAATGCTTCAACAACTCTTGAACCAATTTTGGGAGCCCTTGACCTCTGGAAATGGCCTTGAAGCTGCTGGAATGGAGTGCGGATTGGTTGGCTTGGAGATGGTGTAGAAATGGTGTAGGACTTGAGGGGTTTTGATGGTTGGAATATAGAGAGAGAGAGAGATTGAATGCAAGAGGCTTAAACCAAACCCTCTAACCCTCAAAACACAACCTGGGGTGCTGGTTATATAGACAAGAGTGTGGGAAAAAAGGGGGGGGAAATGGATTTCAAATTTCCCCCCAAAAGTGCAGCCCCGGATACACAATCTGGGGGGAACCAGAATACATATTTGTAATGTACTAGAGGTGGGGACCATGGCCGGCCGGGTATCTAAGATGCAGGTGGCTGCCCGACCCTCTTCATGGCCGGTCGACCAAGGGTCAAAAGGCTCAAGAAGTTTTAGTGGCCGGCCACCCCAGATTGGTGGCCTCCCATGTGTGCACAACACAACCATGTGGTCAAAAACTGGAGAAAGTAAACCAGGAGAGAGAAAAGCCCACTTTTTGGAGGGGTTCAAAAGGGTCAAACACAATTACTGGCCGGCCATGTGATATTGGTGGCCTCCCAGGTGTGTACAACACAAATATGTGGTTTAGGGTTGGAAAAAGTGGCCTACGACCACGAAACGTAGCCTACGGCCACTGAAAGATGATCTACGAGACCTCTCCCTCCCTTTGGGAAGAGAAAACAGAGAAAACAAAGCCTAGTTCGCAAACCGAGGCAAAACATGAAAGAGCCCCGAAGTCAAGTCCGGAGGTAAGGCTCGCAGCCGAGACTCTGAAACCTCTGAACGAGCACGATATGCAACATCACCAAGCGCTCAATCGGTGACGTCTGAGTCTTAAGGTCGGTCAAAAATGGGGTGTCTACACATAGTCCAGCCATTGTTTAGGACTATAGGGCAATCAGTCTTATAAATTCAATGTACAAGATTCTATCAAAGTCCCTGGCCGACAAATTTAAGCATGTGTTACCACGCATCATTAGTCCAGCACAATCTGCATTCTTGAGTGAGAGAAATATTTTGGATGGTACATTGGTAGCAAATGAAGTGATAGATTGGTGGAAAAGAAACAAGATAAGTGGGCTAATTATAAAACTTGACTTTGAAAAGGCGTATGACACAGTAAAGTAGAATTTTTTGTTTGATATGTTGAGCAAATTTGGTTTTGGGACAAAATGGGTGGAATAGATGAAATCTTGCCTAGCTTCTGCTAGTGTATCAATTCCTGTGAATGGGTCTTCATCTGAGGAAGTGATTCCACAAAAAAGTTTGCAGTAAGGGGACCCAATTTCACTATTTTTGTTTAACATTGTTGCTGAAGGTTTAAACATGCTTCTGGTAAGAGCAAAAGAGTTAGGTCTGATAAGAGGGGCTAGTATTGGGGCTGGTGGTGTGAATGTATCGCATTTACAATTCGCTTATGACATAATTTTATTTTGCAAAGCAGATTGGGTGGAGGTCACAAATGTTAAGAGAGTATTGAGGTGTTTTGAAGTTGTGTCTGGATTAAAAATTAATTACCATAAGAGTGATGTCAGTGGAGTGGGTATTGATGAGGCAATAGTTGATGAGTTTGCCTCTAGATTAAATTGCACAATTCATAAACTTCCTTTCAAATACTTGGGCTTACCATTAGGGGCTAATCCTAGAAGAAATCAATCTTGGAAACCTGTAGTGGATATGTTCAGGTCTAAATTAGCCGGTTAGAAGAAAATAGTGCTTTCTTTTACTGGGAGGGTAGCCCTCATTAAATATGTGCTAGCCAATGTACCAATTTACTACATGTAAATTTTCAAGATACCTCAAGGAATTGTAGAGGAGCTTGAGAAGATACAAGCAACTTTTTTGTGGAAAGGCACTGATTTAAAGAGGAAGATCCATCTAGTAAAGTGAAAGGAGGCTGCAGTCAGTAAAAAGTTTGGGAGACTAGAAATAAGGGATATGAAAGCAGTCAATGAAAGCCTTCTTGCCAAGTGGTGGTGGAGGCTTGGGTTTGAAGATGATGCACTTTGGAAAAAGCTAATTTGTATCCGGTATGGTTCTATTGGTAGGAGATGGTTTCCATTCTGCATGGTTGATAGTTCTAGCTCAAGGATATGGAACGATATATTATCAGTAGCACAAGCAAATCCCAGAATTCTTAAGTTTTTTATGGAAAATGTTGGGATTAAAATTGGAAATAGGTGTAGGATTATGCTTTGGGAGGATGATTGGCTGGGTAGTGGTTGTCTTCAAGAGAAGTACCCGAGGCTACTTAGTATTTCCTATGTCAAAGAGGTAACTTTGAAAGAGCTGATGACAAAAAAATAAGTTATGCGGAGTAGTGTCTCAACTTTAGAAGGAATTTAATGGCTTGGGAATAGGAGGATCTGAGAAATTTGAAGATGGTGTTAGGAACAAGGCCAGAACTATGTTTGTAGAGTTTTGACAGCATCATACGGAAAGCTGACAATTCAAGTTGTTTTAAGGTGAAGTCAGTGTTTCACTGGTGTGAGTTAAATGTTGGATCAAGGAAAAAGTTATCTATTTTAATTTGGAATAATGCCGCACCCCCAAAGGCCTAATTCTTTGCTTGGTTGGAGTGGAAGGGAAGAATTAAGACAATTGAGTATTTAAAAAAAAATTAGAGTTGTCACTACAAATGTGGATGTTGTGTGTGCTTTGTGTAGCTTAAGAGAGGAATCACTTAACCACATAATGATTCACTACCCTTTCGTTTGGAGAATATGGTCCAACATCATCAAATAGTGGGATGTGCAGTGGGTTTTGCTAGGCTCAGTGGAAAGCTTGTTGTTGTGGTGGAATGGGTGGAAATTTAAAAAAGAGAAATTTCAGATTTGGAAAACTTTACCAATAGCAATTTTTTGGTCTATGTGGAAACATAGAAATGAAGTTATTTTCAATAAGGTTCAACCCGATTTTGAAGTCCTATGCGAAATCATCAAGGTTAAAGTGGCTTTGTGAATAAAGTCTAATATGGTAGGAAGTGATTATTCAATTCACCAGTTTGTATCAAATCTTCATCAAGTCAGGAAATGTATCAAGTGAAGAGTACATGTGCTACTGCTGGTTCTGAAGGTTCTGGTGAAGTATTGTATCAAAAATGGTGGTTGAATGTTATGGATCATGTCTGTTGTCTTGAAACAGATACTTTGCTGGGGTGTTTTGTTAGGTCTCACCAGTTGGCTCTTTGTTCTGAATGGTTGTTAGGTGTTTGTTTGTTGCTTGGAAGTGATTGATGGGTGGAGTTCATGGCAGCAGAGTGCTGAGGTTTGATGATTGGTTTGTTCTTGGGTTTGCTGTTACTGTTGTGTGATGTGGCAGATGTGCTTGGGTTAAAGGAGTTATGTTTGAGTCCGAGTATGATGGATTAGGAGAGCATGGTAGTTTGGAGTGTAGTTTGTGCCTTGCTATGTTGCAGTGTTTAGTCTACTGCTTTTGGGTAATCTAAGGGAGCTGTGCTATACATCTGTTAGTTTGGTAAAATTGGCTGAGTTTCTTCATATGAGAGATGTGTGTTCAATAGATGGTTGTTGTTGGGTTTTGACTCTGGTGTGCTGCTGCTGGATGTTATTGCTTCTTAGCTACTCAACTATTTTATGCTGCTGAGTTCTTTCAGTTGGGCTCTGTTGCTGATCTTGGGTAGGAAGAAGTTGGCTGCAAATCTTTTTCTTTGGTTGCTATGTGTTTTTTCTTTGGTTACTTTTGATTGGTTTCTCACCAATCTTGGATCAAGTGCTAGCGTATGATTGTGCTTCTTCTGTGATGCCAACCTAGTTAGGATTGTTGAGGTTAGCTATGATATTTTTTGCACTTCCCTACTTTGTTGACGTAATTTTTGCATGTATTGTGTTTTTTTTTCATCAATAAAGCTTTCGTTTTTTTGTTGATCAAAAAAAAAAAAAAAAAAGAGTAAGAAATTAGAAGTAAATTGTGAACATTATTAACCACTATCCAACAATATTTATTTTCTGAATAATATTGTTATCATCTCATTTTGAATGGTTCTAAAACTGAGACAAGTGTCTAGAATATTATACGACGACAAAAATTAATATGGTTTGAAATTTCAATAACTTTGAAAAGGATAATTATTATTATTTTTTTGATTGGCAAAGAAAATTTTTATTAATGACAACATACAGAGTATGGAAAAGTACATCAATAAAGAGGAGCTTGAAACTAACACGAAGTATCAAGCGCCAGTTAGTGAGAAACCAACCAAAAAAAAAAAGATTCTTTGGAAAAGATTTTTTGGTACTTTAATTAAAAGATTCTTTGGAAACCAACTCCCAAAGCACATCTTGGGAGAATTATTTGGACTTAAAATGAAGAAGCAAAGTAAGTTTTACAAAGTGACCATAATACCTCAAAGATCTCTCAAAAGGAGTTTAAAACTTTGCAATTCCATAAATTAGTCTTACAAAGTGACCATAATACACTCAAAAGAAGTTTACTTCTACAGTCATTTTATGTTGAAGAAAAAAAACTTTGCAATTCCATAAATTAGTCAAAGCTATTCTTGAGTACTTTAATAGAGCTTTCTATCATTTAAAATTTACTTTTTTTGATTTAAAAGAAAAAAATTGTGAACGTTGGCCGACTTAAATTTATTTTTGAACCGGCAAGTGCAAGATGGTTCATAACACAAAAAAATAGTAAATTAATTTAGGCCGACCTATTTCATGTAGAAATAGGCTTCCAAATGACTTAATGATGAAGTTCGGGCGTTTTCATTGCATTTAGAATTAAATCTACATTAAAAAAAATTGATCAGTTTTTTTAACAAAGAAAACCGAAAACTGATGAACCGAACTAAGGCCAAGTTTGGGAAGTCTCAAAAAAGTCAAAAAGTCAAACAGTTACTCAAAAAGTTAAAAAGTTATCACTATTCATCAAAAGTCAACAATTACGGCTGCACAACTCCCAATACTAATTTTCCCCTACACATTAATTTATACAATTTTTTAATACACATTTTTCCATAAAAAGTCAAAAAGTTAACCCAAACATTCATATTTTCAACATCAACTTTTTAGTCTAAAAAAACAAAAAGTGTACTTATTTAGGACACCCCAAACAACTCCTAATTCATGGGGCATAGCCTAGGAATAGTCTTATATGGACCATATCAATTCATTGGGAATGACCAGTCACGCATGAATCAGACAAGATCAAACTCAGAAAAATGTTTGAAAACCAACTAGTTTACTTGATGACCAACGTATTGGACTAAATTATAAGATTGTCTCTTCCATAAATACTTGTTCATCTCTCATTCAACATAGTTATATAGATTCATTAGACTATTCTCAATATGGTGAATTCCCACAATATAACAAGTAATTAGTGGTAGTTTGTAGTATTTATGGATCGTGTATCATAATTATATGTGTCATATTCTATAGAGGAAAGCATTTTAAAATTTTGACATTGAATTTTATTGCCTTAAGAGCATCTTCAAAGGTAGTAGGCATTTTACCTATCTAAATATTACTATAAAGTATATATTTTATTTTTGCTTATCAACTATTTCATGTTTTTACTCCAACCATGCTCTTTATTTTAGCTATTTATCCAAATACTATTAATTTTATAGAATGCCACGTCAACAATAAAGATGGAGGGAAATGATCCTAATGATTGAATACATTTTGCCTAGCGTTGAAGGCTAGCGAAATTTTAACCAAATTGATTCAAGAATTGATGGATTTAGAATTAGATCTGAACAAGTAATCGGAATCAACCCTGGTGAATCTCTCAAGGAGCATGAAGAGACAGAGGAAACCCTAGATCTGGGACGGAGAGAGAAAAGAGAGAAATGGATATAGAAAACAGAATGACGAAAAAAGAAATGGGTACAGAGGGAGACGGAGCACCGTTTAAAAGTCGAACGCGTGTTTATAAAAGGAAAATGCGTGCCTTTTAATTTCTCTTTACCTCTTCCACAACGTTTTTCAAAAAACGTTGTGTAAAAAACGTGGTTATAGGTAACTTTTGTTGTAGTGATTTATGGATCGTGTATCACAATTATATGTGTCATATTCTATAGAGGAAAGCATTTTAAAATTTTGACATTGAATTTTATTGCCTTAAGAGTAGGTGTAAGATAAAGTCTCTCATGGTAAGAATACTTTTACCCCTTGATAACAACCAAGGTAAGTAAGTTTATCCCATCCTTTGTTTTACTGTTATATGTGTTTGAAGTGGAATAATGAATCACACATAATTATCCAGTCTTAAATTATTTTTACGAAAACTTTCTTTGTCATAAAAAAGATAAAAAAGTAATTTTGCCAATGAAGTAGATAATGAATCACACACAATTGTTTAGTTCTCAATTGTTCCTTGTCTCACACAATTGTTTGGTTTTCAATAAGGTGAAATTTGCAACAAACAAGTTAAGAAAGATAGTTTTGAGAGGATGGTTGAAAAAAAGGACCATTGGAAACATGGCTAGGAAGTGTCGGGCCTTAGGAAATCATTTTGGTAAAATTTAAAGCTTCATCAAACAAACAAGAGAGAGAGAGAGAGAGAGAGAGTAGGGCTATAAATGTGAGATTTCCTTGTTGGTGGGCTTATACATGTGAGGGAGGATTAGATGTTGGGTGTTCCCATTTAAAGATAGAAGAGAGTAGAGTGAGGAGCCATGGTGTAAAATTAAGGAGTAATGGAAGAACAAGTCAATACTACTACTCCATTAGCTGTCACTCATCTCCTTCAACACACCTTGAGAAGCTTATGCGTTCATGATAACTCTCAATGGGTTTATGCTGTCTTTTGGAGGATCTTGCCTAGAAATTATCCCCCACCCAAGTAAGATAAACAAATATAATTTTTTTTCCTTTATTTATTTAGAATCTTTAGATGTAAAAATCATAAATAATCTCATATTCTATATATAGATGAAAATATCATTTTTTTAGCATTGTGTATTTATTTCTCTCTAATAGATGGGATAGCCAAGGAGGAGCTTATGACAGGTCAAGAGGAAACAGAAGGAACTGGTATTTGCCTCTCTCCCTCTCTCTCTCTCTCTCTCTCTCTCTCAGTGATATAATTTGCTGTATCTTGATGATATTCTCTCTCTCTCTCTCTCTCTCTCTCTCTCTCTTCCTAAGGATATTGGTTTGGGAAGATGGGTTTTGCAATTTTGCAGCCTCAACAGCAGCAGAGATCACAACGGGCTGCGGGGGAGATTGTCCTCCTGGCTCCTCCTCAGTTGATGGAAACTGTGAATATCAACACTACCAAGGTCTCCAACCAGAGCTCTTCTTCAAGATGTCTCATGAAATCTATAACTACGGCGAAGGGTAAGTAAGTAATAAGGTCTTCTCTACTTTACGAAGCGAGATCATTTGTCCCTTTCATGCACCATTCTCTGTTCATTTGAATTTTATTAAAACTTCTATAAACCAATAAAAAATAAGGGAACAAAGAATGGGACATAGAAAAGAGTGGTCTTGAACCAAAATTTTCTCTTTTTTTGTTTTTCATGGATATTGATACAAAAATTAGGTTTATAATTGATGGGTATATATGAAGATTCAGGAGAGTCAACAAGTTGATTTGGTTTTGGTGACAGTTTGATTGGAAAAGTAGCAGCAGATCACGGTCATAAATGGATATATAAGGAACCAAATGATCAAGAGATCAATTTCTTCTCTGCTTGGCAAAACTCAGCCGACTCAGTAAGCAATTTTCTCTCTGATTCCAAGCTTAGTTACACAACACAAGGTTGTTGTGATTTCATGTCATTTTCCCACCGTTATAAATAACGGTATCAGAATAAGTATCAGCATCAATATCAATAATATAGTCATATATCGGACAATATATTAATGAATAACTGCATCAAAATGTCTAAAATCAAATAATACCAATATTTAAAACCATTACAATTTGCTTATTCCAAAAACTGTCTGTTTAGTTCTGAAATGTTTCTTTGCAGCATCCTAGGACATGGGAGGCCCAGTTCCAGTCTGGAATAAAGGTATAAATAAATAAAAATCACCCTCCAAATGAACTTAGATCAAGTTTTTATTTATTTAATTTATAATTTTATTTTATTTTTATCACAAGAGTGTCTGAGATTTTGCAACTAGTCCTTGGAACTTTCCTTACTTGTTAAACTCACATATCTTGCAGACTATAGCCTTGATTGCAGTTAGAGAAGGTGTTGTTCAGTTAGGAGCTGTTCACAAGGTTCTCTCTCATGCACATTAATTTTTATTCTAAGTAACACTATTTAATACAGAATAACGAGACAAGTTCTGATTTTATTATTTTGAAACAAAAGGCTCAATCACTAAAATTTCTTTTTTAAAATATCACTGTTACGCTATTCTTATCATGAATTATATATATAAATTTTTTACTTGTTTTCCTTTTTGAGTTTTTCACTATCATTATCAAGCTTTGAATTTCTCATTTATGGGATTGAAGGTGATTGAGGACTTGAGCTATGTAGTGTTGCTAAGAAAGAACTTCAGCTACATTGAAAGCATCCCAGGTGTGCTATTGCCACACCCATCATCGTCGTCATCACCATCATCATCAACATTCTCATCCCCCTTCAAGATTGATGGGTCGTACTCGTATGGTACACCTGAGCATCAAGCATGGCACTTCCAAGGCAATCTTGCACCACCACCACCGCCAGTGGAATTCTATGATCACTTCAATCAACCAATGAGAATCACTCCCTCCATGAGCAGCCTTGAAGCTCTCCTCTCAAAACTCCCATCTGTCATCATGCCACCACCACCATCGCCGCTAACGCCTGCCATCTACTGCGAGGCTGAGCCGGCACCATATCTATCATCATCAAACAGGCCTAATCCTTTGGAGCTGATGGGAATGGAGAAAGTGGCAAAGCAAGAGATTGATGATGATGACCATGAGGAGAAATATAGGCATGAGAAGGATCTTGTGGGTGAGAGTAGTAGTTCCATGTCATCTTACCCTCCTCATCATCATCAACAACACCAATATTTTAATTATCATCATCATGATATGAATGTAAGTAGCAGAGAAAACAACAGTGGATTTTAGGAATCAAATGGTTTTGATTTCTAACATTGTAGGTTTTAGTAAGTCTTTGGTTAAGTGGTGGTTGTTGTTACTTGGATTTTGGTGGTTATGGAAGCCAATTGAAACCTAGCTTATAAAAATATTCCGCTTTCTTTAGTTTATAAACTCATTTGTTGTTTTTAAACACATTTGTTTTCTTTTCACTATAACTAAGAATACTAGTGTAAGAAAAATATGAAATAATAATCAGTAGAAATAAACGGATTCAGCCATATATTTTACACATTTGAGAAAGAAGAGAGTCTAAGAGAGAGAAAACAGATTCTGATTACCCACACGATTAAAATCTTACTCTCCCAAATATAATACGTATATTATGTGGAACAGTTATAATTATCTATAATTCTATTTCCTTAAGAGATAAGATAGTGAATTATATACTCTTATCCTTAGGATAAATAGATTCTAAATCAATCTCTCCTAATTGAATCTCTTAATGGGTCATGGGTCATGTCATCATGAACGACCCAATCGGATATGGATTATAAATCCAACCCAATTTCTACCAACTAAAAACACAAAACGAGACACAAACACTCGCATATGCTTGTAGGCCTCATCCTGTTTATCACATTCTGTGTGTTCTGCTTCTATGTTTGTTGCAAGACTTGTGTTATAGTAACTACTTTCAATTTAGGTCAAGTTTGGCTATCCTAAATAAGTATACACTTTTTATCTTTTTATCTTTTTTTCCATCACATCATCTCTCTACTTTTCTGCACATCTTTTCGTAAAAAGACAAAAAGTACACTTATTTAGATCATCCCAAACAACCCCTTAGAGTAACGTTACGCATAATCTAATTTCTTATTTCCAATGTCCTTGAGACTCACTCATTTATGTGTAAGAGTTGAAAATGGGGTAAAAATGGGATTCGAAAAGATTTTTCAAAGAAAAATGCTCAGCAATACTAGGCAATCAAAATATTTCAAAAATTATCTTGGAAATGAATTATGGAAATTATATATTCAAGACATGGGCCACAACAAATCAAATTTGAATCCACACTATATATTTCGTTTTATATTTGAAGTATATAACTTTTTTTTAAAAATATCACGTCACTAACTTTTTTTTACCGCTTAGGCAAATATTCATGATTGTTTGTCGTTTAAGAAATAATGTAAGACAACTAATATTTTATCATGTACCATTGCTAGAGTTGTAATATCTTATAACCAAGCCTAACGTTGTCGAGTCATAAGTGGTTAAAATTTTGTTTAAAAATTTAATGAATTTCAAAATATGTTTAAATTTGATTATTTACATAACAAGTCAACCGGCAAATAAACTTTTAATCAATTAAATACAAGTTGAAGTTGACTTAATTTTTACAAGATAAATGTGCTTATCTAGTAAGATATTTAAACTGAATTTAAAAATTTAATGAGTTTTAAAATATATTCAAAATAAAATTATTTATGTAACGAATTAATTCTAAATGAATTTTTAACTAGTTAAATATCAATCTAACTCAAATAACTTGATTCGTTTTTGAATCTTTAACCACAATAGCGTAAAATGGTGAAAAAAAAAATAGTGATAATTGGAGTCAAAGTAAAATCAGGAACAGCAGCTTATTGTGTAGGTATCCATAAATAGTAAATCAGGACGGTAAAAGCTGAAGATGATAAAGCTTGTACATGAGGGGGGGAGGGGTATTTAAGAGTTACAAAAGATGCCCATTACTTGGTTATAACAGTCTGCAGTCCTTGTACAGTTGTACTGCAGTTTAGTATACTGAATCCAAATCTACCACACACAATTTTAAACAAGTCTATCCTGAACAATCTGTCAAATTGTACTCTTCACAGACCACTCAGACCCAAAAAAAATTAAATAAATAAATAATTTGAATGTAAGATTTTACCCACCCAATTGTAGTAGTTGTCCTGAGAAATAAAAAAGGAGAGTTACACGCAAGTGTTAATAGGTAAATTTATTGCCTAATAATTTTTATGATAATTAATAATATTTTTATTAAATATTATTAAAAAATGATGATTAAAACTAGCAAGAAGCAGGAAGTAGATTGTAGACAGAAGCAGAAAGCAGGAAGTAGCTCTGATACTAAAAGGAGACATAGTACTTCTACTATACCTACTGATACTAAAATAGAAGATGAAATATTTTAACACACCTTTATTTAGAAAAAATAGTTAAATTCATATTGGTCAAACTTTACATAGTAAAATGAAAGGCGTAGATGATTCTGCAACTTCCTAGATTAGTAAACCTGTCTATCCAAGTTATACTCATCTTCCCGAAGAAGATACTGTTTCCCAAGATTCACCAACACAAACTGACTTTGAAGTTATACCACCAATAAATCCCCAATTACTAACTATTAGTAAACATTTTGCTCCTGACTTAAATAAATTACATACTGAATTTAAATCTAAAAATAATAAAGTCAAACGACAAGCTTACAAACTTAAATATGACTCTAACCAACAATCCAAAATTACTCACAAATGGTATAAATTCATGATTGAACATAATATAGAAGTTCCTTTCTTTGAATATTTAGAAAATTATTACAAAAAAGTTAATACAATCACAAAGACTAAATGGAAAACTTCTTCTAATACTACTGTTAGTTCCAGTCATCCTCATCTCTCCACTATAATTATAGAACACTAAGGTTATGTTATTCAAGCTTCTCCATTTAAATTATCTGGTAATGACAATGAATTAAAGAAAGTTATTGAACAAAACAATTATACTAACCAATGTTTAAAAATAATTGGTAAACAACTAGACAAAACAGAAAATAATTTGGATGAATATACACTTAGTCATTCCTCTAAACAATCTTTAGGCAAGCCCTTAATCAATTTACCTAGTCAACGTTCCAAAAGAGATAGTTTGGTTACTCATGACAGTTCTACTGTTAAAATCATAGAATAATTATTCACTAAATTAGCCTTTCTTTCAAATGAAACAGTCACTTCTCCCTCAACTGAAAAAGGTCTTATTGTATTAAACCAACAACCTACCTTAGATGTCATTTCTCATCAATCAGAAACCGACACATCTGAAAATGAAATCAATCTTTTAGCTCAACAATTTCAATCTTCTAATCTTAATCGAATTACTTATCCTAAAGTAAATCCAACAACTCTTACAAAAAATTGGTATTCTAGACCTACTCCCCCTGATCTCCAATATGAAGAAACCAATCTTAATAATCAGTTTTCTGTTTCTGCTAAAAAACTATATGAATGGAATATAGATGGTCTTAATGAAGATCAAATTCTTCAAAAATTAAATCATTTAGCCATGGTTGCCAATAGTTATCTTAGTAATTACCCAGATTACACTCAACCTGAAATTGTTTCATTAATAACCTCTGGATTTACTGGTATGTTAAAATCCTGGTGGGAAAAATATCTTACTGAAGATCAACGAGAATCTATTTTACATGCAAGTCAAAAAGATGAAAATGATCTACCCATATTTGATGAAACAATTGGTTATTATAAACCTGATGGTATCAATACCTTACTTTATACTATCGTTCGACATTTTATTGGCACACCTACCAATAAATATTCCTGAATCCATGATCTACTTAGTAACCTTACTTGTCCAACATTAAGTGATTTTAGATGGTACAATGATGTTTTTACATCCAGAGTCATGCTACGCGAATATTGTACTAAATCATTTTGGAAAAAAAAAATTTATTAATGGTCTACTTAGTCTTTTTGCTCATAAGATAAGAGATGTTCTTAGTCAACCCACTAGAATCATTAAATATGATAATTTAACCCATGGTGATATAATTAGTACTATCCAAAAAGAAGAATTAAAAATGTGTATTGATCTAAAACTTAGTCTGCTGCTAAAGATAAACATAAAGTTAAATATGAACTAGGTAATTTCTGTGAACAATATGGCCTACCTCCTCTAGCACCCTCTAAAAGAAAGTCCCAACAAAATAAATAATTTCCTAAAAAATCAAGTCATAAATATCGTAAGAAATACTTCAACTATAAGCCCCTTGATAAGTATTATGATAAACCTAAATCTCATCATAGATCCAAATCTTACAAAAAGCCAAAATCTAAATTTCCTTCCAAATCTCCTTCTAATATTACTTGTTATAATTGCAGGAAAAATGGTCATTATTCTAATAAATGTAAAGAAAAACAAAAATTAAAAGATAAAGTTAATTAACTCCAAATAGATAATGAATCCAAAAATCAATTATTTGAAATTTTCCAGTTAAATCAATCTCCTAATAATTCCTCCACTGACATACCAAACTCAAACACCTCATCTGACTACCACTCACCTAGTGATATTTCTGATAATAACATTGAATTAGGATGTAATGATATTTATTGTAAACCTATTAAACAAATCACTGTCTTTACTAAACAACATCAAGAAGAAACTGCTCTTATTGAATTAATTAGTAAATTAGATGATCTTGAATTAAAACAAAAATATACTGATAAATTAAAATCGTTGTTAATTAACAAAGATACTAAACTACAACATGATAAACCAATCATTAGCTTAACCAAAACTTTAGAAAGATTTAAAAATAAACAAAAATAAATTACTCTTGAAGATTTACAACAAGAAATTAATCAAATTAAACGTCTCATCAAAGATCTATAAAGTAAAGATAAAATTTTAGAAGAAGAAACATCCATATTAAAAATTAATAAAAGTTTAGACAACTTTCAACAAGATGATGCCATCTCTCCTAATGAATCTGAAAATGACGATACTAATCCAGATAATGCTCTGTTCGATAATCGATCCAATCCATCTGATAATCCTGAAAATAAAAGATTAAGGCCTTGTTTGGTTTGTGTTTCTCAAAAAATTTTGGAAAAAATTCTCTACAAATAAGTTTTCAAAAGTAATCAAACCAAACAAATTTTTTCAAATTTTTTTTTTCAACACTTGTTTGGTTTACAAATTTTCCAAACAAATCTCTCTCTCATACACATCAAATCAATCACTTTTTCCAAAACTCTCTCTCAAAATAATTTTTCAAAACATCTTTTGAAAAAAAACCAAACCAAACAAATTTTCGTACTTTTTATCTCAAAACATGTTTCTCAAATACAAACCAAACAAGGCCT